AAGAGAGTAAATACTTTCTTTTCTTTTCTTTTCTTTTTTTTGTTCATTTTAAATCTTGAGATGTATCATGCCGAATTTACAATGTATACCTTTTAGAGTAACATGTTATGCACCATCCTTTCAACATATTGGACCGGAAATTATGAAATTTCATACAGCCTCCGTTGAATAAATTGTTTTTAATTGCATATAAATGCGGCAATCATCACATACATTAGTGGCAATTGCTTGTAGAAAATGTTACACAACATGGCAATTGCTTGTAGAAAATGTTATAACATGAAGTACAATAATAAATTTTTTGTCTTTGTTTAATGCAAGTAGTATAGTGTACTATATATAAAGTGGTATTTATTCACTAATTTAATGCTAAATGGATAAATAATATAAATTTATAATAATTTTTTTTATAAAAGGCTAATAACACATGAGTGTTTTGGTGGTTTCTCAAATTTTGAAGTAGGATTTTTATTAAAGAATTTAATGGAAGTTGTTAATGGTAGGATTAAAATTGGTGATTTGAAGAAGGTTTGGGATTATTATTATTATTTTTTGAATAAGTTGTTAAGGGACGGGCTCGAAATCTGTCCATAGGAGAGGAGGAATGCACTTCAGGAATGCACTTCAAGCTGATAGGATGCCAGTTAGTCCGAAGGCCAGCTGCGGTTTGGGACCATTTTTAGTTCAAATGAAAAGTCAAGACAATATTTAATATTTATGATAAAAGTTGGGACTAAATCTGACATTTACCTAATTTATATAATAAAGTATAATAAATTAATTAATATAGATAAAGTGGGCCGGCCTTGAGTTTGGACCAATGAGGTCAGGTCCATTTACTTCCGAAAGGAAAAGACAAGAATAGCTAGCCCAATCGGATTGTCGTTTTCGTTGATAAAATGCGACAAGCCGTAAGGTTAAAATCTCAATTTGATTTTTTATTTTAGTAAAAAAAAATTAATTTTTTTGTTTTAAAATTTTTTTTTTGTCTTTAAATTTTAAATTTTGGCTCATTATTAATTTATTTATTAAGTTTTTATATTAAATAACAAAAATTTCAAAGAAAAAAAATTAAAAAATTAAATATTTTTTTCAGTCTCTTCATTATTGAAAAAAACTTTTTTTGATCTTTGTATTTAAATTTTTTTTTAGATTTTAAAGATTAAAAATTTTTACAAATAACAATTAATTAACGAAATTTTTGTGACGTGAAAATTTCACTTTGTAAAAGAACCATGTAAATATATTTTTAAGTTTAGGTTAAATTTTTAATTTA